TGTACTAACCAAATTATGTTTCTTCATATAATATTGTATCAATACCACAACAATGCAATCCAACTAAGTTTTGGTGCACAATACAATTGTCTCTAGAATCCATCAATAAAATTAAAATTAAAACATGATTTTTTATTTTATTTTATTTCATTTCATTTTAAGTCTACTTCATTCAAACTTGCTATACTACAAATTAAAGAAGGAGAGAGATTCTTTTCAAGTGAAAGATTAGAAATCTATACCAAAATAAATCAAGCTATCTCTCATATGATACATAAAGAATCCAAAAGTGCAAGTGTGAAAATAAGAAAAATCCTAAAGCTTTACTATAATAGCTAAAACACTATAGCTAAGCAAATCTTTACAACAAGTTCTCTCACTCTCAAAGTCATTCATAAGACTTGACTTGATAAGAATGTCAAGTCAAGAATTTTTCTCCACTTAAGTACTCAAATCCTAATTGACATAAATAAGTCAATTAATGAAAAAATTATCAATAGATGAAAAACCACTAACCAAACTAAACTACATATATTTGATAGGATTTGGCACTGAATACTATATCATGTGACACATCACTAAATTATAATTAATTTTAAAATATAATAATATGAAAAATTATTAAGATAATAGATCACAATTCTTATAAAATTTACAAATAATTTTATTATTTAATTTGCACTCAATATATCAATTTTATTTTTATTCCATAGAAGAATTCGTAATGCAATAAAGATTTTCAAAGCTCATGCCATTTATTTCTGATATTTAGTGATTTAAACCACAACATCTTATTCTAGATTCAAAGCAAGTTAAATGAAGTATTGCTTTAATGAATTAATTGATTTGATTTCAGAAAATTCATAAATATATTGTGTCTACATATACTATTTTTCAAGATGATTAAGAAACATTATGTTGTCTTAAAATATAATGTGAGATGCATGTAGTTACTTACAATTAAAAATATTACTTGATTACCTATGAATATTTTTTAATTGTATACAAAAATACATTTCTTTCTTAAAATTTAACATGTCTTTAAAAACATTATAGAAATTAATTATATTTTAAATAAATGAATAAAATTTTATAATTTTTATCATACAAAAATTTATAATTGATATAGAAATATCAAGATTTTTAAAAAATTATTCAAAAAATAGATACTAATAAGACAAATCTTATTGGATTTTAAAATAATCAAATTATTTATATTTGAAATGATTCAAATATTTTACAACATTAAATTGTATCCAAGAATCTTATATAAAATTATAAGAAGTAATAAAAATGACATGATTTAATCATTCAAATGCTAAAAAATAATTTATTGTAATATAAATTATAATTGATGATAGTTTATAATGATCGAATTAAGTAGTTTTCAATGTATAAAAAATTTGTAAAATAATTGAATGAAACAAGGTGTATTAATTAAATTTTATATTATTAAAGATATAGCAAAAATATATATAATATATACTATTTTTTCAAAAAACTTAATTTTTTAACACCTAGAATTTTCAAAAATTAATTAAAATATTAGATTTTTTTTATTCTATGATGTATAATTATTAAAATTTAATATATATATATATATATTTATATTTATATTTTAAAATTTTATTAATAAAAAATATAATAAAATAAGATTACTTGGACATTATGGCCAAATAACTATAATGATTTAATCTTAAAAAAATCTTATTAAAATCTTAAATTCGTAATCAATCCGTAAATAAAACTATAAAAAAATCCTTATACATTCTAAGTAAATTATAAAGCAAGTTTAAAACCTTAATATTTAGTAATTTAACTATTCATCTTTCTCAAATTATTAGTAATTTTTTATTTTAATAACAATACATTTGACAAGAACTAAACTTACACATTGAGAAAAAAAATGCTCATCAACCTATATTGGAATGAAATATTTTCTTTCTCTAATCTTGATATCAATCTTTTAGAATTAATAGCATTTTTTTATAATTTTTAATTGCCTTCCAAAATTTGCTTAAGTATTATCATTAAAACAACCTTAATTTTGTAAAGCTTTCTAAATTTATTATCTAATTAAAGCTCTTAGGATTTATATTCAAAGAAATCCTATCAAGTCTACTTCCTTACTATATTCTTTGATTGAAAAATAAATAATTAATTAATTAATTAATTAATAAAAATTTCTAATTCTTCTAAGTGACAAGCTTGTGCTCTAGGATTAGGTTTCAAACTTGGTTAAAAATCCAATCATCTTTGGGTATCAATCTAAGGTTCTTCTAGGTAATTTTTGTTATAATCTATTCTTTAACTTCACTAAAAGATGTCTAAAATATTAATTCTTTTAACCTAATTTATTTTGGCTTGTTTGTTGCCTTACAAAGAGAGTAAAAGCTATATTTGTAATAAAACAATTTTAGCATTAATTTTTTTTCTTTCTCTTAACTATTATTATCTTTCTTGAGTAAAATTTTATAGTATATTTATTACAACAAAATCTCTCTCTCTCTCTCTCTTTCTCTCTCTTGCTATATATATATAAAATGAAGCACACTACTTGTTATTTACACCTCTCAAATCTTAGATGTATTCATTCAATAGTAACTTACATATATAGTAGACCTGCAAGGTTATCACACAACCATATATATATATATATATATATATATATTCAAATACACACCTATAACTCTATATTAAAGATAAAAAAAATGAAGTCAAGAATCTCCCTTTTCTTCTACAAAATACACAATGGCAAAATTTTGTAGATCATCACTAATGTTTTGACAAATTTATGGATCATTTATTTTATTTATTATTAATTAAATATTATCTTTTCTAAATTTTGTATATTATATTTTTAAAAATATATAAAAATAGTATTTTTATTCTTAAAACATGGTTCATTCTCTGAATTCTAAAACCCTGGTAGAATTCCTTGTAGAAATAAATCAAAACTAGTATTCTATTATTTTGATTTTTACTATTTAATTAGTTCACTTGTTCAAATAAAATTATGTAATAACTAATTCCACTACAATTTTTTCTATTGCTATCAAAAATTATTTAAAAAAAATATGTCATAGTATTTATTACTAAAATTTAATTTATTTCCTATTTAATTTGAAAAAAATAAAATATTCACAATCTTTTTATTCAAATAGATAAATAAAATTAAAAAAACATGACAAGTAGGTGGTTAGTTGTGGTGGTTGTAGCAATATCCTAAATTTAAACCTCTTGTATTGTGTTTGAGGTCTTTATTAAATTAATAATGTCTAGTAGGATTTTTAATTTTGTCACAAAATTTCTATAATGTTGTTGAAAATCCTTGGCAAGAGAATCCTATGAAAAAAAACTACAATACTCAAAAAAATTAAATATTATTATAGTGCAATATATATATGTATATGTATATATATATATATATATATTAAAATAAGTAATAATAATTTCTACTTATGGATTATCCTTTGTGAAAAAAGGTGGACTTATATACATGTCTATGTGATCTACAGTATTGGTTGTTCTTAAGAAACGAATTTTTGGTATTACAAATAATCCCAAAATCAGTTGCTTGGCAGTGTTCATTTGAAGTCAGCAGAGCTTGAACATGATTTACAATGATAATCATTTAGAGTTTTTAACTTTTCTTGGTAGAAAATATCCTAAGCATGCAGAGTATAAAGAAATATGTGTGTGTATATATATATATATATATATATATAACTGGATGTGAAAATAAAAAATCTTAATGAATGAATTTTTTTAATGATAAGATTTTTGACAAGCAATGATTGCTTCTTATGAATATGCTAACTTCAATTTTGCTGAAATTTGTGTTTACATTATAATTATATTGGAAGTTGTGGAATGAAGGTATCAACTTATAAATTTATATAAAAGTAGTCATGATTTTATTATCCTGTCATTTTTTTAAAAAATTCAAAAAAAAATCCTTAAATATGTTTAAATTTTTGGAATATTGTACAGTTTATTTTTTAAAATAAAAAACTTGGGTTTTAATTTGAATAACATTGAACAAGAAACAGATGTATAATTTGTATTGTCTATCTGAATGATGGATATATTGTTTAAAGATCTCAATTGATATTGTTTACATTAAAGGTGTGATTAACTCTGAAATTGGCCAAAGATGGGAATGTGTACATTGCTTGCACTGAATCTAGCTTTTTTTTTCTTTTTTTTTTTTTTTTTTTAAGTTTTTTTAGCTTTTTGTCCTAAAACTTAAAGGACAATGAAGCAACAAACATGATGTTTTATTTCAAAATCATATTAATATATAACTATCTAATTACACATATGATATGTAGTATTTCAAGGAAATCATTCTTACAGTGAATTTTTTCATAGACAGTGAACACACAAAAATGAGATTTTTTTGCTTCCTCTCCAATACATTCCTATTATTATTCCTACTGTTCTCGAACATTCGTGAACTTCAAACTCAATTACCAATATAAAAATTAAAAATTAAAAATAAAATCACATAATCGAACAACATCATCAACAGACAAGTAAACAAACTGTAAAACACATCCTCACACGGAGGGGCTCCTAATAGGAAGGATCTGAACAGCAACAACCCACACAAACCAAGCAATAACAGACCCACGTCGAAATTCGGACGGAACGAAGGCACGGGAGACGAACCCGTCCGCGTCCGTCGAGAATCGGACGAAACTTGAAGACGAAAGACGAAACCATATTCTTTCGTCGAAGACGGAACGAAAAGTGGAGAGACGGACGAACCCGTCGTCGGTCGTTGAAAAGACGACGGAGGAATGGGGATACAGACGGACCCGTCGCAGTTCGTTGCGAATCGTCGAAGCGACGACGGAAAGAGAGGAACGAAAAACCAGGCGTCTGGTGGAGGGAGAGACTACGATGAAACCCTGCGATGCTGGTGTTGTTGCTGGCGAGGCACCGCGACCTAGACCGAAGGAAGAGTAGCAGAGTCGGGGAAGAAGAAGAAGCCCGAACCCCCGCCGAGACTCTTAAGCAGCACCTCAGACTCTGAGTCCTCTTTCTACCTCTGGCGCCGTCTCCGCGATTTCCACTCTTTCCCTACTCTTCCTCCTCCTCTTCCTCGTTCTTCTTCTTCTTATTTGTCCTCCTTTTTCTCGTACTTCGCATTGTTGCCGCTGTATGAGCGCCAGCGCTCGTGGTGTACGCCTCGGTTGACGCTCGGTGCGGCCCTGGCTGCTGTTATCTCGCTCCATCTTCAGTGCTAAGGCGGCCTGCCACTGCCATTGACCATGTCAGACCCTATTCAAGTGCGTTTTCTGTTCTCGTGCCGTGTCCGTTGTCCGGGATTGAGTTTTTTTTGCTTTGTGTAGTTGTGTCTCGTTCGACGGATTGGATAAGTGGAAAACGCGATCCTGGAATTTGTTGATTGTGGTTAGGGCTGGTGTTTTCATTGCCCTAATAGGGGTTGTAGTTGATGTATGGTGGAATTTGGTTTGGATGTGTTTTTGGTGTGTGTTGGTCAGAAATCTTAATTCCGTGACGGTGTCGGGCAGCTGGTTTTGGTGTGTTGATTCGATATGTGGTTCAGCTGTCTGGATCGATGTTGGTCTGTGTTAGGTTATCGTGGCGAGTTCAGATTTCGTGATGTTAGATCAGAATTAGTTTTAGGCTTTGGTTGGTTGCATGAGTTGGAGTGTGTTTGTCTCGAATGTTTGTTTCGTTTTGTTTGACGGCTCTTTGTCCTGCGGTATCGGCTAATTTGTTTCGAGTAGTAGTGATTTCTCACAACGTGACTTGGTCCTACTTTTTATTGTATTTGTTCATTTAATAGGACTCTTCTGCGGACCATGACTGGGAACATGAGGACAAAATACTGGAACCTCCAAAATTTAAAATTTCAGGGCTTAATGCGGCGAGCGCCGAATTTCTTCCTAAGCTCAATCCAGTCGCTGCCGAATTCGTTCCTAGGAAGTTTTTAAACGTTCAAGCTCCACCACCAGTTCAGGCTTCACAACCGGAGATTAAGCAGGTGGTGTATCTATCTTCAGGTTACAAACTTCTGGTGTTTTGAGTCAGCTCTGGTTAAGATAAAATTATCAACATCTCTTTCGAGAAATTCTAAGTTTCTTTTGCGTTTTAGATAGTGTTCTGTAGTTCAGTGAAAACTTCTGGTTGCATATACTTTTAAGGATTGCCTATCTACACATGGTCGTAGGTACCTGGGAATGCACTCATTTGTTGTTCATGCGTCTGCAGGCAGAACCTGAGCTTGTAGCAGATGAGCTTGACGAAAAACTTAACTTAAAAGATGAGGAAAAACAAACAGAGGCGATCGTGGACGAAACAAAGGCAGCGTCACCTGCAACTTCTAAACCCGAACCGAAGCCCGTCGAGGAGACTCCTCCTCCGGCTCCTGCTCCAGAAGAAGAGGAACCAGAGCCTGATACAGGGGATTCTCGGCAGCACCTGAATGTAGTATTCATCGGACACGTTGGTACGTGTTATGCGCTTCTTTTCCTCTATTTCCTTTCTTGCGAGTATTACCAACTAAGACATCATTCGAAGTTCAACTAATATTAAAGCTCGCCGTAATTATACAGAGACTGTAGTCTTTCATTAATTTTGTCCACAAGTTTCTATCCATACGGTTTCATCCACAGTGTATCACGTGTCTCCGTATGTTTTATGTGATGGCTGATGCTATAATGGCTGATTGTCATTACAGATGCTGGTAAATCAACAATAGGAGGTCAGATACTCTTTTTGAGCAATATGGTGGATGAGCGTACTATTCAAAAGTATGAGCGAGAGGCCAAAGACAAGAACAGGGAGAGTTGGTGAGATTTCAGGACCACAATTGAAAAAAATATTATGATTATGTTTCGTGCGATTCTCTGTTAGCCTGATATTTTAAGCTTGTATGGATCTGGTAAGAAGTAAGTTTCACGGTTACTTTTTGAAAGTATTGACAGGAGCATGTCTCAGGTACATGGCTTACATCATGGATACCAACGAAGAAGAGAGATCCAAGGTTTGCAGTTATTCCCTATCTGAATCCAGCGTATAAGCCAAATTTTAGAAAATGCTGTATGATACAATTAGCCTAAGTGTGTAGTTTCATCCAAATTGCAGTCCATAGATTACCTTTTAGGGGCTGCAGTTGATTGATATTTATCAAGCAGAACTGTTTCTGCTAGGCAAGGATGTGTTTCTTCTAGACAAGTTACTGGGCTCTCTGTCTGGAAGTATTTTCCTCGTTCATTGACTTGATTGTGTAACCTTTTGCGCCGTCTTTCTATTGATCTCATTGAAATGCAGGGAATTACTGTCGAAGTTGGAAGAGCCCATTTTGAAACCGAAAAGACTCGGTTCACAATTTTAGATGCACCTGTAAGACTACTTTTAGGTCTTCTTGGTTTAGCAGCTATTGTTTCAAAATGGTATAAAGTGCACATTTATGTACAAGGAATTTCTCATTCAAAAGACGCTTCTAAAGCAATCAAGTTAAAAAGCTAGCATCCCTGATAGCCGCGACTTAATTTCACCACAGCCATTTTTTAGCTCAGAATACGTCTGATCTTTCTTCACATAATGAACGTTATAAGTCTTGCCTGTTGAATGAATTGTGTGAAGGACATCCGTGATCTAAAGCATCCAGACAGTTACTTGTTTTCAAGCAGACTAGGTTTATATTGACACGACATATGTTCAACCAAGGAAATATTTATTGTTGATCACGAATACTTCCTTCGTTTGACCTAACTCCTTGTACCTGTTTTTCTGTGTAGGGCCACAAAAACTACGTTCCTAATATGATCAGTGGAGCATCCCAGGCTGATGTTGGAGTGCTGGTAAGAACTGTGTTGGTCAGCGGTTGTTATAAAATAGTGAAGAGAACATTTTATGTTTTGGATCAAATGCATGCGTGCTGGATTCTAGATTCAGGATCGTTAGTGTATTACAGGTAATTTCAGCTCGAAAAGGGGAATTCGAAACTGGATTTGAGAGAGGAGGTCAAACCCGGGAGCATGCACAGCTTGCCAAGACCTTGGGTGTCTCCAAGTTACTGGTTGTCGTAAACAAGATGGACGATCCATCTGTTGAGTGGTCTAGAGACAGGTTGGTTTAACTCGTTATCTTTGAATGAAACGCAGAGAAAAGCGTACAAATGAATCCAGTAGGCAACGTCCATCAATTTTGTTTGGCATTAGATGTGTTTCGAGCCGATGATCATATTTATTTGATATTGTGAAGTAAAAATTTGACAATGTGTTCAAACTGTTTCCATAGACCACATTTTGCGGATACGGAATCGAAGAAACCTTAGTCTTTTTATCTTAATACCCCCCCCCCCTTTTAAATTGTACTATATTCATTTTCATCTGGGGTTCTTATCATGTACCATTGGATTGTGAATTTCAGGTTTGATGAGATTGAGAAGAAGATCATTCCTTTCTTGAAGTCATGCGGTTACAATACGAAGAAAGGTGTGACTAATTTTTACTTTCCAAGTTTGCTCATTTTTTTGGTTTCTTTTAACACTAATTCTCAGACGATTTCGTAAGTATTTACATCTGAGTGCTCTTCTAATAATGATCTTAACAGATGTACAATTTTTGCCAATATCCGGGCTCTACGGGCACAACATGAAAGAGAAAATGCCAAAGGACGTGTGTTCATGGTGGGACGGACCTTGTCTTTTTGATGTTTTGGATGGCATAGAGCTTCCATTGCGAGATCCAAAGGGTCCTTTTAGGTAATGAAGTTCTGTTCCCCCTCTTAGACTTAAAAGAAATATTGTTTTGCAAGACCTTTTGACAAAGATTATTCATTTAGCGGTGTCTATAACTATAATTATAATTATATATGTATTTTTTCTGTCTGCAGGATGCCTTTAATAGATAAGTACCGGGATATGGGTACCGTCGTGATGGGCAAGATAGAGTCAGGGAGTGTGCGACGGGGAGAAACTTTGATGGTCATGCCTAACAAGGTAAATGACTCTTTTGGTGGTTCTCGGTGCTTTTGGACCATTAATTTGATGTTTGTGGAGTTTTGATATTCTTGGGTTTTGTTAGTCCTTTATCTGGAAAATCATTGATCACTTAAATTGTTGGTGAATCTGTATGCAGGCTCAGGTAAAGGTTATTACAGTGTATCGGGATAACGATGAAGTAAACTACGCCAAGCCCGGCGAAAATCTACGAATCAGGTTATCCGGTATCGAAGAAGAAGACATTATTGCAGGATTTGTTCTGTCATCCGTAAGTAAGTGTCTCGTCTCTCATCTAAATTTGTGGTTAATGATTCGAATCTTTTTTTTTTTTTTTTTTTTTTTTTTTGCACACTGGAGTGTTCAGTTAGGCTGTAGTTGGGGTTTACATTATTACTGTTGGTCATTGAATGATATTTTTATCTCTGCAGGTAAGCTTATTCCCGCAGTTTTGGAATTCGATGCTCAACTTCAAATTCTGGGGCTTCTCGATCACAAGGTGTGTTTGTCACGAATTTATCTGTTTTTGCAAATCAGTAGCGGATAGGTTAGATCCGGGGTAGTCTCTAATCATGGTTAATCATTTCACCTATCATTGTCGCTTGACTTCTTGATGTGTTATATTCATTATATTTCTTCAATCTTTAAACTGAAGCGTGGTTGGATCAAGGGTTTAGTAAGGAATATTTTGCATTAGAGGCTCTGTTCTATATTCCTAGTTTTCGTATTAACGTTTATCTTCTTCCAGGCTATATTTACTGCTGGTTACAAAGCTGTGCTTCATATACACTCTGTCGTCGAGGAATGTGAAATTATGACACTCATTCACCAGATAGATCCCAAAACAAAGAAGCCTATGAAGAAGAAGGTGTTGTTTGTGAAAAGTGGTGCCGTTGTAGTGGTTCGCATCCAGGTTAGTATTCATTTCTCGTTTTTATCCATTATTAGTGGAGTACATAGCATGGATGTTTTTTTAAGGTATTACAACTATGTATCTTGATCCAAGTTCCGATAAGTAAAAATTTGATGGAAGACATTCTACGACGAATCCTATAGATGATCGTTTATGCTCGAGCATATGCTTGATTAGTTACACCTCTTTTGTTCACTTCAGGGGTACGTGTTGATTACGAGATAATAAGATTATGAATCATAATGTAAATTGGTTTTGTATGTGAATTTAAAAACATGCAGGTTAACCAGCTCATTTGTGTTGAGAAGTTTGACGATTTTCCTCAGCTTGGACGATTTACGTTACGAGACGAGGGTACGTCATGACTATCCAATCTTTTGAACTGTTTTTGTTGTGGAAAGCAAAGTTTGTGGTATGTGGATTTGACTAGACTTGCTCAGGTGTTTAGTGTTAATCCTTGTTCAGGTTTTACCTTTTTCTGATTTCTTACGGGATCATATGATGGAACAGGTAAAACTGTAGCGATTGGCAAGGTTGTTAAGTTCCCCAAGCTCGAAAACAGTAGCCAGAACTGACGCCAGCATCATTAATGTGCATCACCAACAAATTGAGGACTCTGCTTTCATTGGTAAAATCTTGATATTGAGAGTCTCTTCGTTCCCTTTCTGCTTGAAATCCTGTGAAGTATTGAGCTGCATACAAAGGTTGAATTGCTTGTTAATTTTGAACCAATATTATATTCAATGTCTGCTTGCAGGAATCTTCATGATTGAGGTGATTTTGGATAAGAATTTATCAAAATTTCGAATGACTGTTTTGGTGTCCTAAGAGCCTTGTCTATTTCTCAAATATCAACTTCGAGTTGTACTTGAGGTGTTCGTCCCTAACCCCCTAAACAGCATAACCATCTTAGAATATTCATTTTCTGTGAAGTATGTTGGGCAGGAAATACACGGGAAATCCATGTTTCTGAATGGATGCTTTTTTTTGGTCACTGTGGCAACTAAGAATTGGTCAGTGGAGAAAATAAATGTTAGAATTTTCAGGTATTGATACAGGAGTATCTGATTCTCTGACAGAATTTATGCCGGCAATTCGTTTTGATAAATAGAAATATGTGAGTCGCCTATTGTGCTTGTTTTTACTGCGTGTTTAGGAACAGGAGTTTCGCCTCGAGTATCCACGTGTACTTGGAAATAGTAGGTCTTGCATAAGTCCGTTTGTATGCGGGGCCTACTGTCAGTATAGTCGACAACACTTCGTGCTCTTTGAGGCAAACTATGGTGCTGAGGTCTTGCATCAGTTACCGTGATCGTAAAATTACTGTCTGGAAGGTCTCGTACCTCCCATGTAATTGAAATTGTGACTGAGATTATGACCCGCGTATTCACCTTCGTGTGAAGCATAATTGATGTTCGCATCCCGAAATAACATCAACTTGTTATTCAAGTTCACTAGCTTTAATTTGAATAAATGGAACGGACAATGCCTGGTAGTGTAATATTCTCACAGCTCTTTTGAAAAGAACGATGTTAATTCCATCTGCACTAATGTCACCGAGGCATTCATACTAAAGTTGTGCTTTTGAATCTGACCTGGCATGCAAAGTAATCCCGTTAAGCTCCTTCTACTTACGGGTAATTTACCTGTGATCGCGTACTTGAAAATATGATTCAAAAACCGTTTTAATCAGGACTATACTGCTGTGTAAGGAAATGTACAAAATTGAAATGAAGACGTCTAATAAAGTACCATTTATACTTTCAAGAACAATCATGAAATTTGATACACCCGTGCAGCTGAGGTGTTGTTAGCAAATTGTGAAAAACCAGATGCTACAACTTTTAATCCGATGCGAAAACACAAAAATGTGATATCAATATATTTTAGTACTAGCCTGAAAATGTGTAAATCAAAATTCGAGCTGTTGCGTGAGTGACCTATGAAGACCTCGGTTGGTAGAGGTCGGCATGGAGCCGTCGCAGACGTGGCTGTGAGTGGCTACAAAAACTGTGTACCTATTGCTTACATAGGCTCATGATAAAAAATTAGAACTGGTAAAACTATTAAGATTGTGTGAATGAAAACTGTCAGAAACCTGACGGCCATAGACTAAAATGCAATTCATGTCCCGAGTCTTGAAACGTCTTCACCGTGAACAAATCCACACCAGGAAGACCAACGAGCAGATGGGGTGCAGAGACACTCCAGCGTACTGCAAAGAGAAAGTCTTCCCCATTTTAAAGATCGGACCGCCAAGGTCGTATCATTGAAAAGGAAAAATATATGAATATAACACTCAAAAACAATATTTTGCATAAACACAGCATATCGGCTGACAGAGACAAAAGAGAGACAAGGGTTTTGAAACACACCTTATGCGACACTTTGAACAGCTCTTTCAAATGCAGCTTCACCAGCACCAGCACGCTCCACAAGCACATGGTTTGGATGTGTTATCTTCAACTGACTGATTACACAAGTAGAAACAGGTAAGTCTTTACCATTCCGTACGTGGTAAGTGTTTTCTTCAAAATCGAATTGTTTATAAGTGTTACATGCACCGCCCACTAACCACTACGAATTGAGCATTGTGCGAACCTTAAGTATCGCGCCGTCGGCTTGCTCAAATGCAGACTGCAAACGATGAGATTAGCGAGGGTGTTGGCGTCCTTCGAATCCTACAAATAGAAACCAACAAACCAAGAAAGTGGGGAAAAAGTAATTCACCTTGTAAAGTCTGAACAGTGAAGAAGTAAAACATATAGCCATTCAGAGGAAGCAGAAAAATGTGTTTCCTTGGAAGAAAAGATGAGCAGAGCGTTGAATTCATTCGAAGTGAAGGAAATTTGCGTCCAAATGATGATGCTTAGCGAACCTTGTTCAGGGCCTCCAGAAGGAGAGACTCGGCCTCTTCAAATTGGTCCATATGCATTTGACAAACCGCACTTCCATTCATCAGCATAACTGTCCGCGTGTACTTTTCACACAGTTCCTGGAAGATGTAATATGCTTCTTGAACTTTAACGCCACCCTATGCAAATTCGTGGCGGAACACAATCAGTAATATACCAAGGCACATTACCACTTAATTATGTAATGAAAGTCTACATTGACACTGCCAAAGCATACAATCTAGCAAAGTCACTAGGGAGATCACAGAAGCTTCATGCGAGGAAGTAAAACATGTACAATACACTGAGCTTTTCAAATGGGAAAAAATAGGAACTAATAACTGAGGTGAAGTTTCTTACCAGGGAGAGGTTGACCCAAGCATTGGCCAACTGAGTAAGAGTATGATCTTCATCAATTTGTTGCATAATTTTGAGTTGTTTCTCTGCATAATCTGCTCGGTGCATCTTCAAGTATATCTGAACATTCAGTGCTGACCTGCGAAGACAGACCAAGATGTATAAGAGGATCAGGAAATCTAAAGCTAGAATTTTCACTATTTCAATAGACGCACTAGAGTACTCAGGCTTCAATACTGATCCTGAATGAGTATCAGTTGGCAGTACATGAACCAAAACGTTCCGTCATGTCTAAGATGATTCGAGTCGACTAACTGTAGGTAATCCACACCAAATTGCAAGTTAGCTTGGTAACTTACAAATCAAGAGTGCCACCAACGTGTGTATGCTTAAGAGCCTCGTTATAGTTTTGCTCGTGTGTGTAGATCATTCCAGCAATCAGCAACAGGGTAGGGTTGCTTGAAACAGTTGTATCAGATAACCACTCCGACAAGCTAGACAATGCCTTTTCCTGAAAAGGAAAATTTATGTGAGCAGCAGAACGCTGAAAGTGAATCAAAATCGATTTTTTTTTTCTTCATACAAACACCACTGTTAGGGGAACTACACGCTCGCACCAAAAATAGACTATAAACATGTCTCAGAACAAGATAGCTCTCCTAGAGATTGAAAAGGACAATATTCGCTAATTTTTCTTACCTTCTGAGCTCCTCCTGATAGATACAATGCGAGGAGTTTTACGGCTTGAAGCGCAACAGGAGCAGCATCGTTGATTTCATCAATTACTAGCTGGGTTTCATTAACAGTGAAACATATATTAGCGGGAAATAGAGGAGAAACAAGGAGAGAATCCTGCAGTAGAATAGCAAGAATGTGGCTAAATTATGTGTAGAGGTAAACTATAGTGCGCGCACTCAAAAAAACTACAACGAGAGAAGATCATGGTTTCAGTGCAATAAGCTGAATTGTAGCGATGGTGAATAAAAATAATAGACTTCTAACCTTTAACGAATAACCATAGATCCTCATACGAAAAATTGGCAGTAGAATGCTATAGATCCTTGCAAACTGATGGACGATGAACATCCTTGATCCGGAAACTAAGAATTAAGAACATTCTAGTAATCAAAGATGAAAATCAGCATCCGAGGACGGAAGCGCCACTACACACGAAAGACAATTGCACCTGCATCTCTATTTTCCACAATAGCAGCGAAGGTAATCTCGAGTGAGTCATTAGCACCGCAATAGATCTAGATCACAGGTAGAGGGAAGATCTGCAGGGAGAGGGAGACTTAGAAACATGCGCTCCGATCCACAATTGAAGACATGGATGTCACTGAGCTCAAAATGCACCCGAATATAGTACTGGAATAGGGTGCAATGTAGGATTACCATTCGACCTGTCAGGTTAACCTTAAGTCCACAAAAGACGCTCTCAAATGAAGATCGTACTCCCAGGCCAAACTACACAACTACTAGACGACACTCATCGCTTCTCTCAAGAAGTACACCGCGCCTCGCTTAAACACTCGAAACATCAAACCCGACATCACACTAGCACCCGCGGGCGGGAAACCCCCCCGCAAATGCACGGGAACCCTGTCGAAAGGCACTTAAAATTCCACTCCCACCAAAAAAGACAAAAAATAAATAAAAATAAACTAACTGCTCGGTCTGCTCACAACACAACAACGCTGCTCTCTCTCTCTCTCTCTCTCTCTCTCACCTGGTATTGTCCGAGCGCAATGTAGGAGCGGTACACGAAGCTGTCCTTCTCGACAGCATCGGCGTCGCTCAAGTTGCGCACGTTGCTCTCGTTGATAGCAGCTTGGAAGGCTCCCAGGTAGAAGTTGTTCCGCAGCGGAAACAGCACATCGGGCCCGCTCATTGTGACTGCGGCACTGCTCCGCAACGCTCCTTGGCTCCGCAACACTCCCGATCCCGATCGCTCACTCCCTCGATGCCAAAATGAGTGTGCCTTCGACAACGGCCCTTCGATGCAAACCTCTCCTGCTTCTCCCTTCTCTTCGTCTCTCACTCTCGCCACTTTTCGTCACTCCCTCGGCACTTTTAAGACGACAAGTCTTTCAGGACAGGGTCCTAGACTTACTAAATTTCTACGACTCACTAACCTGGCTTTCTAATCGCGGGTCTAAGAATACACTAATACGGTTGGCCACGGGCTGTTACTGGTAACAAGCTGTTGTTGTAGGGGAGATTACGGTAAATAGGGGGGTCGTATCCGGGCTCATATTGCCGCGTTCTGATTTGCCTCAATTATATCCGAATGCGCGGAAATAGGAGCCCGTTCTTGCCTTGCCTGGCCTTGCCTTTTTTTGCTTATTTATTTTTATAGACGCTCTAATGGTGACCATGATGCCGCCATATGATTACATTATTATTATTGTCCATATGCCTCCTTTGGAAGGCGCCCCAACGTCCCTACTTTTGCTCTTCCACTAGGCTGAGCTAGGCTCATGAAATTGTATTTTATATTTCATTCTTTTCTACTTGGACGTCACAAAAAACAATTTTGTTTTTTGTTGCTATTTTATAGATTGGGTTTGAAATGATAATCCTATACCTAATTTTAACTAGTTGATTTTATGATTGATATGATTGGGTTTGCCAACATAACCAAAGATGTCCAATGGGAACAAAAATATTCACAACCTGATGGTTATGGAGGTTAAAACGATCCTTCTATAAATTAAGCAAATAATAGCTTGTGTTGACACATTTGTACTAACACATGTACTATTTAGAAAAAAGATCTTAACCCAAACCAAATAACTTTTTTTTGAGTATATCTGTGAAAAAAGTTGTAATAAGTAATTCGATTACTGCATGTACATGATTGAATATATATGTATCATTTTTAGTCATTACTAAGTATAATTCTATGCATTCTTTCTACTGTGACAGTGAGTGTGTGTGTGTTTGTGTGTATATATATATATGTATATATATACATTTCCTAGTTTATTTTTTATTTTATTTGTATTAAAACCATTATTATGTAAATGTAAAAGTATTTCAACTTGAAATTATTGTACTTTGAAATCATATATGATTTTGTACTAAGTCATTAGTGTGATTTGTTTTGTTTTGTTTTTTTTTTTTTTTACTAATTTTATTGGTTTGCGATTACATTTTATTTATTTTTGTTCTTATTGTTCAGTTTATAAAAAATAAAATAAAATAGTAAATTCATTACTAATGCTATTATAAATTACTGGAATTTTGTCAATATAACTATTTAAAAAGAGTACAGTATCCTAAATATCTGCTTCCTTTTAATAAGAATGTATATATAATGATTGAACAAATCATGTGTGTTCATTTTGAGTAATTGTTTAAAATTAGATTGATTAAAATTTTGTAATCACCAACTTTTCAGACAAAAATAAAAATAAGTATAATTTTGATCTTTAACTTTTAAAAAACAATTCAATGTTTGATAATAAACTATGACTAAAATTTTCATACAAATTAAAAAAAGAAATAAGAAAAAAGAAATTAAAGAATGTCTGTTATTATTACATTATTATAATCCCAACAAGTTTTCTGTTTTCTTTTTTCTTTAAATTGATTTGTTTAACATGCGAATATTCTTTTCAACTAAAAATTTTACCCATAGATTTAAATAAAAACTCTATCTTTGCTTTGATATATATATATACATATATATATAATTTTCTTTTTAACAATATAAAAAGAAGAAAGAAAGAAAAAAATTAAACCTATAAGAGGAGGCTGTCTTGAAAATAGCATTACTATATAAGTTGCTCAACGTATACAAAAAAAATATTAATAATAAAATATAAATAATTTAATTATATCAAATACGTACCTTTCAACATTAAATACAATCCAACTATTTTAATAAATTGTATTTTATTTTCTTAACATATTTTTGCTCCTTAAAATAAATATTAGTCTAATTGTTTAGCTACTTCTAAATATATATATATATATATATATATATATATTTTATAAAGTATATTAAATAATAATTCAAAATTTAATTTCATAAATTTACAATCTTTATATTATTTTATTTTAAATTAATAGAATATACAATTTTTATGAATTTTTTTAAACTTAAAATTTAAATCTATATCTCTTAAAATATAATGTACAAATAAATGAATGTAGATATTGCATATTATAACTAAAAAAAAGGCTTTAAGAAAGCCATGAAAGTTGATACATAATATCCAAACTAAATACATCACACAAACAAATTTCAATCAATCTTGTTCACATAAATCGAAAATTGTTGTTGATTAATGCCACCTATAAGACCAACAAAGATTACATTCTGCTCTTGAATGTTGTTAGGTGCGCAACTTTTAATAGCTCTTTTATGGTGGCACTTGTCTTCATGGCCTTAGAAGAAGTTGGATCTTACCAGATTGTGTGTGAATGGATCAAATAATTGTTTGTTGACGTACCTTTGCTTAATACCTTTGTTGTGGATTGTGAATTATTCCTAATCAATGGAATCAAAGAAATCTTTCTATTGCCACAATTTTTTATGCCATTGGCAAGAATATTTGATAAGAATATTGGAAAAAATTGCAAGCAAGATTTTACAAACAAGCAATGGCAAGAGTTTTTACAAGGTTGGAATTTAGTGGTATTTGTACATTCCAAGGACAAATTTGAAGTGCAATGGAGTACCTTTGTAGAAACCTTAAATTTTAATTTTTCCAAGGCAATTATGTATATCAAGAATACATAGCTTAATGTGCAAAAAGAAATTCTCTTTGCTACTTAAACAAAGAAGTTTTGCCACTTTGACAACTGTGTGACCTCCACACCAAAAGGCATGTATTACATGCTCAAATAATATCTTGGATCAAGCAAATTTGATTTTCTTAGCAAATGCCAATAAATAGAGCTTTGCATTAAGACCATGCACAAGGAGTATGTGGCACAACTATCTTGTAAAAAGCTACGCATCTTAAAAATTACCAATTCAACTACCACTGCCTCTAATCCCCACTCCATCCTTCTCCCCTCCCCCCTTCATCCTCCAAATCAAGTTGCAAGGTCTACATAAAAATACTTAGCCAATCATAAGCCTTCATATTCTTTAGATGTGCACATAATAATATGAAGTATGTCTGTAACAACTTAGTGTATACTTGTAGCTAAGTCTAAAAATTATTGTCATAATAAAATTGTCTTTGAATCTACTTAAAACTATTTATTATACTAACTTCCAAACATATCAAGTTAAAAAAAAACTACAAAATTTTCTACTAACAACTTCTATAGTAAGTAATTAAGATATAAGTCTCCCTTTCTCTATATGTATATATATATAAATGCTTAATCAAATATTTATAATTCAACAAACTAAACTATCACATTATGTTTTAGTACAATTTACAATATAAATTAGCAGGTGAAATTTTTAATGTAAATTTTCTATTTAAAAAAAAAATAAAGTCAATATTTAACAACTTAAATACTAGCACAACTTGTCTTAAGATTACATAACTTGATTCTTCTTTTTGACACTAGTGTAAATGAAAGACCAAAACAAAAGACAAATATATATAAATAAACAAAGAGAAATTGTTTTTATTCTTATGCCACCATCTAACAAACTCTAATTTGAACACAAAACTTGCAATCAAAAAATCCATCAATTCTTGCAATACCATGAATACAACAAATCAATGATTATATCCTCTTACAACCTAAAATCACCACACTTAAGCATCCAAATAAAATAAACAAATATCAATATGAAGACATTTATAAACCATATTCATATATTTAAGTTATTACATTTAAAGCAATTCACTACAGATTTGGAATCCAAAGATTATAATGAACTTTTAACATGATATTTGTAATTCATCAAACTGCAGCACAACTTCATTGACACAACTCCAAAACATAACTTAAAAAATAAATTTATACAACAATCATTATCAACCCCATACAAAATACAAAACAAATAATGGGATCACCATAAAAATACACCATACAAAATTTTCAGCCAAACATTAACACAATATTAACAAAATGTTTAAGATCATAGTACAAATGTAAATCATACATTACAGAGACTATATTATACTTAAAAAATTAACTACAACAAATCGAAACAGATGAAGATGCGCTGAAATATATTCTGCAAAAGATTACCAAGTCAAAAGGAAGATGACATCAAACAACGAAACATCACCTAGAAACCAAAAAAAAATCAGACACTTCAACGACCAGTGCTACATCAATATTAAAAACATTTACAAAAAGCAACAGACAAGAGTATCAAAATCAATAGAAAAACCGTTCAAAGCAATTCAACACACACCACCATAAATCAAAAGTCACTAAACATCAACAGCACCAACACATCTTCGCCAACGAAACCAAGAATCCGATTGCCCAATGCTTTTCCACTGTGGGTTAGCCACACAGTCGCGACTAAGCTAATTACCAGGTCACTGCCCAGCAGCTGCCTGCACTCCCTGTTTGCTTTTGTACACAAAGCGCCCCTTCCACCCCCTACATCCGCTCTGTTCCATAGTTCCCTAATGTACACAAATCCACCTACAATTACCCACGGATTCGTCCGTCCGCTCACAAGAATATCGATGGCGATTGCTCCTCCACACTTCGCAACGTCTCCGCGTCGCTTCCCCTTTTCCATGTTCTCTCCAACTGTTCATTTGCGTCACGAACATGCTCTCCAAACGCTACCCCGCGGATCTGCTTCCCGTCTCCCTTTACCTACCGCTTTCCGATCCACCCGCAACTCCTCACGTTCGTATCCCTGCCCTTGGAACTGTTGGCAACCCGTACTCGTCCGCTTCTGCAGCCTGTTCCAACCAAACCATGCATCGTCAAATGCGACCGCGAACGCGCTCCGTTCTGAGCGACGTCAGGTACTCACAGCTTCCACGACCACCGAACAAACAGGCATTCCCATGCATTATCAACCTAGCCAACGCCGTTCACATTCTCCCCACCTCCATGGCATCCAAGCCCTCGGCATCAACTTCATCACCACACCTCACCCATCACGGGGCGGTTATGTGACACCTACCTGCGGCTGAGCGTGGCCGGACGGAGCGGCGGGTAGATCCATCTCCTCCTTGTCGTCTTGCAAGTAAGATGGCATTGCATCCGGTTCTGCCTCCAACCCCATGTCGGCTTCCAAAGCATCCAACTCTGTTCCGCGTAAACACCATCCACAACATATGTCAGCCACCACTCGGTTGACCAGGTCAAATCCAAGGACTCCGACTACCGCCACCCAGCTACCAGAAGCACCCCTTACCTCCCATCAGCTCTTCTTCGTCGAAGTCTTCGGGTACGCCATAACTGCGACCCAGCGTCTCCTGGATCTCGGAGCTGTAGTCCACCAAGTCCATCATTTCGTCTTGCATTTTCTGCGCTCAAAAGTAACCCGTCAGTAGCTTCATGAAACCGATCCCAATTCCCAACTAACAGCGAGTGATGCAACTACACCCTGATCGGGCAATCACCACTCCCCATGTACGACTCTGGTATCTCTGAATCTACCACCATGCACGCGCTCACACCAAAAAACACCAACGCCCAACCAAGGGGATAGGAGCACGCACGTCGATATCATCGATCTTCAGCGTCTTCATGGTTCCCTTCAAGTCCTTGTTCGCGGCTTTCATGGCTGACATCTGCACAAACAACATTCCCAACACTCAACACGCAGCCACGGTGGACTCCGTTCACTGCTGTTCCATCTCCTCACGCTGACACACAGAATTCCCATTCGTTTGCTCCCTCACACAATGCCCTGCCAGGCCTAGAATGGGCTGCGCCTCACCTTCTGCCCAGAACTGCACCCGAACCTAGGAACACAGCATGGACGCCCAGTTTCCCTGCCTGCCTGCCTAACCCCCTTCCCCTCCGACCAACAACCTTTGCAACCACAACCACAACCACAAGCAAGTTCAGACGCCTCCGAAGAGACGAGCGAGGCTCACCGTTTGTTGAGCATCCTTGAGCCCTTCTGTCGCAAACGCAACCTGCTCCAAGTTGAAAGTTTGACTGTACAATTGATCCCGTTGACCTTCGTACCTGCCAATTCAGGATGGTCGCCATCATACCTCACATACCGACAATCAACACCGCCACTGCTCTACACCATCACCGCTTCCTACCTCAAACCCTAATCGACTTGTGAATCCTCCCAGAACCGTCAAATCCACTTCGCCACTCCACCTGCTTTGCACGAATCACAATCTCTACCGGTGCAAATCCTGTTCATCTCTTGGATGCCATGAACATAATACGACTACCTATTCGCAACGGGAGGGAAACCAAAAAGAGGACAAACTGTCTTTACATTTTCTTCTGCTTCAAAATTCGCATGGCACGGGCCTTCACGGCCTCTTGCGCAGGGCCTGGCCGAGTCTTCTTGATCTGCTCCCGATACCTGAACAGCTCCCCGTCTAGCTTCTTAATCTTCTCATCGATTGCATCGCCACGCTTATTAATCTGCTCACCACATGCCGCCCGCCCCCCTTTGCTAGCGTCACTTCCACTACCTCCGTCCCAACGATTCCCACAATCATGCACGACGATTCTCTCCCACTCATCGGAAAAGAAAACGTCTACGAGTCCACAATCCAATTCAAACCGCAGCATCTCGGTTCTCGAACCAACCAAGCAAGTCAGAGCTACTCTTACCCTTTGAGTCGCCTCCTCCACGGTCGGCCCGGGCGCCTTCTCCTTCTTCACACCGAAGACGCGCCTCATTATTCCCTGCTGCTTCGATTCAAAAAATACGCCACACGATCGCCCTTCCGCTGCGCGATCGAGCAAGCGGGATCAAACCAGCACCTAATCGCAGAGACGCGAAACGACTTGCTCGCAGCAGAGGGAGAGCAGCAAATGGCGCAGTGTGGAGCAGGAAGTCACAGACCGGAACGCGGACGCTTGGAGGCGACGACTACCCATGAAGAATGAATGAATTCACGAATGAATGAATACGTTAATGAATGAAAGAGTGGAGCATCATCCGTATGGAGTTCATCCGTTTGGGAGGCGAGGGAGGGAGACATCCCATTTACACGGGGCCATTCATGCCATGAGTCGGTCTCCTCCCTGGACGGTCATTTGAGTCTGTGTGTGTGTGTGTGTGTGTGTGTGTGTGTGTGCACTGAGCAGAACCGAATAGACCGCGGCAAACCCTTCATCGCTTCGTGGAATTCTCGGCAGAGGCGCTGCTCGAAATCGATTCTGGTCAGTGCTCTGAGACTTTGGTGTCGTTGCGTCTGTTTTCCGCATTGTTTTGGTTAGATTGGATGGTTCGCGGCCCTCTTCAGTGCAGGGGTTTATGATCGCAGTTTAGTATCAGCGGAGTCTTGGTTTAGGGGAAAAGCTGCGGGTGGAAGGTTCTGGAGATGGTGGAAGCCCCTTGGCGAGTGGTCGGTGATATCGCAGTGGTCTGGTCTTAGCATCGGTGCAGTTCTATTGTGTGTTTCCGTGGATTTGTTTGTTTGTTTTTTTTTTGGTTCGGTTTGTTTGTTTTTGTTTTGTTATTTTGTTATTTTGCATTATTTATTTATTTGTTCTGTTTTGCTTTGTTTGTTTGTTGATTTCCAATTTGTTTTGATTGCCTGTTATTTCGTCCTTCGCTCGCCAGGGAGGGTTCGTGAAGGTGATCGGTCTCGTGAAGTTTCTATCTTTCTTATTTGTGAGCGATTGGCACAAAGCGTTTGAGCGCTAATTGTGGAGGGGTTGTGAGAGGAGATTATGCGTACTTTTCTTATCCTTGCAAGTAACGCGTTCGTATACTTTGTGTTGGTTTTGAAAGCATTGTCGGGCATTATGCCGCTGGATCGGTTCGAGGTAGCCTAAATTTCAATGTTTGGATAGCTTGTGACTTCATTTGTTCGCTTCTACAGTCGTCCTGTTTGTGCGTCGAGAAACGGTTTCCTACTATCGTTCATCACGTCGCTCTAGTGTGTTCCCCATGAGCTCGGAGTGGTTGAAATTCGACTGACATTGCGTGTTTCTTGTAATGTGCGAAGGTTGATAAGAGTTGAGAGCAATGGGAGAGGAATTGGAGGATGTGCCCCTTCCGCAGCTGCTGACTCAAGCACAGCAAATACATTCTCTTGCCAATTCGTCTCAAATTGGAAATGTGAGGCAATTTCGCGATCTGACTTCGGGGGTGTAAAGTCTGTATGGTGCAACATAACACGTGTTGCGTTCTGGCGTCCTTGTCTTTTCGTTAGCTACACAGTGATTATTGAAGTAGTCCTTGGCAGGTTGTAAAAGCGTAAGCCTTAGACAGCATTGTCAGGACACGATGCACAGAAAATGAAGCCCCGTGTAGGGGCACGTGGTGAAATTCAGCGCAGCGTGGAGATGTCTGTTAATGTGAAAGGTTTTTCGTGATGGAAGGTGACGAATTCTCACGCTATATCTTTCTGATTTAGCAGGACGAAGTGAAGAAAGGTTGTCAGCTTTTACGAAAGTGCCAAGAAATCGCAGACAGGATAGGTTTATTTTCTACCAACGAGGAGAAGGAGGACATTAGCACTGGGGATCTGAAGTACTTGCTGGTGCGCAGTCAACTCCCATGGACTTCGTCCACTGCACCTTGTAGCTTTGAGACGGTGCTCTCATTTTCTACATGCATGTGCTCTTCGTGAATCGCTAGGAGGTCGAAATGTAGTACCTCCTGACAATTGTTAAGGTCTGTGCGACTGAATGCATCACCTTACATTGAAAGAGCTTTTGAAGTTCAACTGAGCATCTTTGGAACCCCACAATACGCAGGTTCCATATTACTTGGGCGAGCTCACAGAAAAGTTGGAAACGGAAGATCGGGTTCAATTGGTTAGGGTTGCCAAAGGACAATTGTTGGTGCGCTTTCGAGTCACTTGTGACCTCACCTTGCATTTGGGACGACATGAAGCAACATTTGAGTATGAATTGTTTGCCTGACGGCTATGGATACATTCTTTGTTGATGCTGTTCGGTTAGGATATTACTTCTTTGTATCCTTGTTGCTGGAGTGCATTTCGTTTTGACCTGGGATTGGTCCACAAATAAGGATATTTGTGCGTGCAGTTTTGTGGATATTTTCTGTCTGGACTTGGTCCGCTGCGCCATTTGATGACTCCAATGGTCGTGCGATTGTCTGACACATACTCCATTGATATTTCGCTAGAGCTTTATTCGAACATGTGAGCGGTTGGAACTGCTTTCCGAAAGCGACGCCCAGGTTCTCAGTAGAGAGGGTCGCGCTACTCCTGAAACAAGAAGAGCGGAAAAGGTGTGTGGTCTAACAAGTTTTGATCGTGCGTTTTGGGTGTATTTATGTTGTACGAGAGCTTGTTATGAACAGCAACCAGAATTCCATTTTCAGGCGATGCAGTTATGGCTGTAGCTGATTGTTTCGGAGTTTCTGTGAGCATGTAATCTGCTGTTGCAAAAGGAATGAATGCCCACTATTCACAACCTGCTCAGCAAGCTGGATATCAGGTGCCTTCAGTCAAAGTCGTGGACTCGTGATCGCTTGTGTGTTCTTAATCGGGGTTTGGGGACGTAGGTTGCGCGGTTCAGAAAGCAAAGAGCTGCTGAATCTAAGTTACAAGAAATCAAAGAGAGAAAGGAGAGGCGGCGACGGTCTATGCAAGCTACTGCTAAGAGCACTAGTGTGGAGCAAGGGGAAGAAAATTTGCCAGATGAAGACGATGAAGAAGAGCGAGAGGTGAATTTCAGTTAATCAAGTGGTGTCGCCGAGGGATGTATCTTGTGGGTTGCTTTTCGAGGCGTTCGACTCTTTGCATGGAGAAATTAGGGTTATGTTTACATAGACGACTTGCTCGTACTAACTATTATCAATGTGGAGGCATTTGCAGGCTTGGTTCTTGCAGATATCATTGGCTCTGTGCAAGGTTTGTACACAGATTTTGCCCTCGACTTGTGAAAGACTCTGATATGCCTGATATCATGTTTTTGGGTCGGGCTTGTAATATGAGAACAGAGGTGCTGTTGATTTGTCGTTAACTGCACGGAACAGAGTATGCCGAGCGTAAGTACTGGGTTGTCTCAAGCCAGCTTGGATGGGAGGGCAACGCTAAGAAGTACCATAGAATGTTAGAATGTCTTCTCACGTAAGTGGTATGGCTGTTGAACACAGTCCTTGGACTTGGTCGAGATGCTGCAGCGGGAGGAGGAGATGCTTGCTGCTGTACAGGCTGCCAACGAAGAGGTTAGCATCGTGGAGGCATTACAAGTATCGTCATAGCTAGAATGATGGGGTTGCGCTTGGTGTAGTGTGATTGACGAAGTTGGAAAGTCGTTCAGAGAAATCCCAATGGAGGTCGTCCTCTCGGGGAGTAGGTTTTGATATGCACAGGAGTGATGCTTGTTTCTTGCAATGCGCATCCAAATGTTCATCGAACTGTGCTGACGAAGCATTTGTTGTCTTCGTAGGGAAGAGAAGCCTTTTCAAAAGAGATGTTGGATGAAAGGCATTCTAGAGCAGATGACTGGCACAGACAAGGAGCTGCTAAGGCTCAGACTTCAAGGCCAGCCATACCCATAACGTGTGCAACGTATGCCCAAGACGTGATAGAGGGACGGGTTGCTATACAACCAAATCATCAGCACACGCACGGAGCTCCCATGTTGTTTGGGCCCGCAAGCGTCGTGAGTGGAAGCCTCTCCACTGATCGTGAGCGACAGATAGCTCAAGTCTTTCAGCCTAGCCACAGGTATGACCCTGTGCTTTAGTAGGGACGCGGCTTAATGTAGTTTCTTCTGTTAGTTCCTACCATGAATGTTTCGTGTCGTTGGTCATATGGGGGCAACGCCGGGGAGGCAGCCGCTGCCCAGTCATCCCGAGCAGCCAGACACGAGGATGGCAGCCAGCGAGATGGCTGGATGGAAAAGAGGTTGTGAAGGACGCGAATGAGCACTGAGCTCAGTGGTGACACTGCGCTTTTCGGTCGCTAGGCGCTTAATTTAATGACTGAGGAAGGTCACCGGTCACTTTTATTTTGTCATGTTTTACATCGGCGGTGTGTTCAAAAAAATTCGTGTTGAGGCTTAAAGAAGTGGAACGTTCTGATTTTGCAGTTTACCAAGCATGAGCATAGAACAGGCCGGTTTGGCTGAAATGAAAATCATGCGCACGTGGAATGAGACCAATCAGAAGATATTCGACGAGGCTAGACAGTCGTCGTGGGTTGGGGAGGAGAAGAAGGACGATGACGATAGCGATGACGAGGCTGCTACAAACAAGGCCCGGGCCTGGGACGATTGGAAGGATGATAATCCGAGGGGAGCTGGTAACAAGAAGCTTACGCCTTGTGGATAAGCTTGTTGATTTTGGTAGGGCATCTCCGGTGTGATGCACATAAAAATGGGACCGTGCTTTCATAGTCGTGTCGGCTTCTTTTGTCTGCGCCGGGATTCAGGAGCCTCTGCTGAGGTTCAGAAACTTGTGATGTCGTTGTAGCTTCTGAAGTACTCGTCGTAGTTGTAAATCTGTTTGTTACCCTTTTTAAAGGTACACCATGTTGACTATCTTTATCAGTGAGAATGTTTCGGCGAACTCTATCAGCAGGTGATTTGCATGGCCAGTTGTATATTTGATAGAAGATTTGCTTTGGATGGCTAGTTTGTGCCATTTCTTAGCTGACCAGAACAAGTGTCTCCAATCATAAGCCAACAGATTCACATTTGTTTAGGGAATTCTTCACGGTACACTTTCTAAACGATGTTCTAAACGATGT